CTTAGTGCATACCTGTTTTATAAGGCTGCAATTTTAATACAATGGGCATGAGATATTTTTAAAAGTTAAGCTTTCTGCCTTTAGATTTATGCTTTCAGCTCTTTAGATTTTCCATGCAAAGCACAATAGTTTCGAAGTAATAAGGTAACAGACTCTCCCCTAAGTACCTTCACCTGATGGTTAGACTATATTTTGAGAAGTGAATTTCAGTCCCTGAAGGTTAAGAAAGAATTTGAACATGGCTTTCCCATGTTCCAAGTAAGTAATTTAACCTAAATGATTTAATCCTTTTACTAGAGTAACACATGACAAAACAAATCTGCATGTTATTCCTCATATTTCTAGCAAAGAAAACTTAAAAGTCCTAAAGAGAAGCCTAGAGCTAGGACTCTTAATGCCTTCTAAACTATATTCACCTTTTAATTATGCAGGACACTGTTTATAGACATTTGCAATAAATTTTTTTAATCAGGTCCCACAGATCACGTATGCAAAGAAATGTCAAAATTATGGGTTATAATGAATCTCTGGCGTGAGGTAGATGCTGAAAGTGCACAGGACTGTAAAGAATGAGGTACCTTAGTGCATGCCCAAAAGAAGATGTTACATAAAGTGATGAACTTTACTGCTGCAAGATGCTGCATATGGATTGTTCAATAGATTAGCAGAGTTTTTACAGATCACACTGTTGGGTGTAGGGGCTAAACCATGTTTAACTCCCTGTCTGGGAGCTAAGTCATTATCATGTGCTGTTATGTGTGGTTAAAATTACTCAAACTGTATTTACTAATAAGATGAGCAGGGGCAAAGAATGTTATATATTTAATTTAGCATTCTGCCTTTTATGGACACTGAGGTTTGCTTCTGGGTTGGCTTTGTGTGTGTGTGTGTTTTGTGATATCAGCAAGGTTCAATGTCTTTAATCCAATAAATTGTAAAGAAAAAGTGAAACAACCCATTGTTTTTATCTAAACTTTTAGGGTTTACTCTCATGAACCTCTTTTTACTGCATTGCCGGCAGGAAAGAGAGGCATAAGTGGGTAAAGAGAGATAAGTAAGGACATAGAGGTATTCATTTGTTTGAAGTTAGCCAATATCTGAGCTGCATATATAAGATACTCATGCCACTGTTAGATCATAAACTAAACTGATAGTGAGAATATGTATTTTCAGTACAAAGCAACAGAGAAGAGAATTCTACAAGTAAGAATTATAGAAATCTCTAGAGGAAAAGAAACATAAGAACAAAGTGTATTCATAAATCACAGTTAGCATCCACATAAAAATCAGAAAAAGCAGACAAAATTCTGTTCACTCCAAGGTTATAGATGCTGATTTTTTTTAAAATCTGGAAGCCAAGAAATTTGCTGGAAGCCTCCTGAGATATTCTGAGCATAAGCATATTCTAGTGATATTGAGGCGAGTTGTGAGAGAGCAGCAGCTTTGTAGACAAGATGAAACTGCTTTGTGAGCTTTCCAGGGGATGAGATAGCTTGGCTGCAAAAGCTTAATAGGAGCCAGACTATACCTTACGGGCCATATACATACCAGCCCTTGTCTAGTCCAGTGTTATGGTATCTCACATTAAACAATGAACTTGCAATCTGTTCTGTGTCACTGGGTAGTCATACATAGTGGCAAGTTTAATTGCCTGATGGAAGTAACATTCCACATGAGTGCAAGAGTGCTCCTCTGAATCAGGGTTCAGTAACTTAATAAAATCCATTATTTCATTATGACACAGTGTGCCATGCCTCAGGCTTCTTGTTCTTGCTACTTGTAAAACAGTCCTTACTATCTGAGTGACTGGCTCTGTGAACGATGCAAAATAGGCTCTTCATTTCCCTTTTCTCTCTGTGTTTTTTTAGTGTTTCATGAGGTTATTGTAGGTAATCTTTGTCAAAAGAAGTTAAATCTAAATATAGTAGATAAATTGCTGCAGCTGCTGTTGAGAACTGAAATAAGAAATTATATGGTCTCCTCACTGCCTCCTCTTCTTGGTTTAGCAGTGAATTCCAATGAAAAATATGAGTTGTGGTTCTGGGGTAGCAAGTCTGGTTTACAGTCAGCTATCATACTGAGAAACATCTTCATTACACATCTGAGATAAATTTGGACTTAGAATTCCATATGCTGAGTAGTGGTATACAAGAAAATAGACTTGACCCTGGGTTACCATATGGGGACATGAGAGTGTTAAAGACAGTGTAAAGAACAACTCAGGGTTTTTCTTGAGATGAAATCACATCGAGAGAATCCTCCTTTTACAAAATCCTCCTTCTATAGGAGTGAGATTTAATAAATACAAACAAAGTAATGACTAGGATTACACTATTCCAAGTGCCTATTCAGGCGAAGATTTTACTACCTTCACATTCTAAATATGTTCAGTACTGAACATCATCCACAGACCATATGCTACATCTGTTCTACTTACTATTAACTCCATCACCTCAGCACAATCATTCATGTCTGAGCAAAATTTGACCCACCTTATACCAGACTATTGTAAATACAAAGGGCTAAGATTAACCTTAGCACTTATATTTTTGGGAATCACTTATACTCTAGAAAAGGTCAAGTTATCCTACAGTAAAGTGAAAAACAAGCTACCTTACGACTTGTTCAATTCAGTCCAAAGCACAGCAGACAGGCAAAACAGAACAGCAGCTCAAATGAAAGCAGGAGCCCAAGCTCAGTCAGTCTGTTTATAGAGTAGGATTATTATTATGATTAGCGCAAGTGGACATGGATAACCCTCTTTCTGTTTCTGTGACACATCTGTAGATCATCCTCCATTTAAATCTGTCTGTTGCTTGCTGTGTTACTGGAAAATACAAAAACAAACATCTGTGTTCCAGATAGGCACAGCCCCAGAACACGAATGCTGTTTAATGCCCAGTCAAATATAACACCAATCATGTAATGTAGAGAGGGCAAGTTGGAAGTGGTCATGGCTTGTAGGGAAGGAAAAAGGGCAGTAGGTAAGAGAGAGATACCGAAAAAGTACCTTTTATTTTTTTCTAAGTAAGATAATATTCTCCTCACCTTTTATTTAGACTAAAATCAGCTCTGAGGAATCCATCTGTCCCTAATGTTAGTCGGGTACCATTCATCTGTGAGCACAACTTGGCACCATGTTGTAGTAATGTCACTTGTTCTGATTCTCTGACAGTAACACTGACCACTGAAAGGATAATTCCTGTTGTAACTCTTTTTAAGTCATCCAGGAGACACCAGGTGCATTAGGCTAGTCTGATATCTGGAAATGGTGGCCCAAGCACAAGCATAGGCAACGTGTTTCAGAAAATGCTTCTTTTCCTTTTAGTGACCCAGTCATTTATCTGATTGACTAAAATCGGTTCCCATGCTTAGAAATCCGGCAAGATAAATCCCAAAAATGCTGACAGTGAGCTACATTTAAGTGAATGATTGTCACTAAATCACTCCCAAAAAATGACTTTGAAAACTGCTTATCTAACAGCATTTTTCTACCTTAAAACCATTCAAATGTTACTCTTCCATTTTACTATAGGTATATATGCTGCTATGTTGCAAGTTATTCACATTGTCTACTTCCCTCATCCACTTCAGTCATTCAGTTAACTAGTTCTGCTAACCAAAACAACTGTTTATTCAAGCCCAAGAATACCTGCATATGTTGTGTGATTTTGTGCACAAGATTTTTCATCAATAATCTAAGAAATGAGTTGTGCAATTTTTTATTGATAAAGTTTTAGGCTCAAGCTCAAATACATGCTGTATGTTAGGATTGCTTTGTAGAGTCTAAGGTATTTCTGTTGCTTCATATTAACAGAACACTACAGTATTTGTGTCGAAACAATAAACCCCAACTCAACACTGTAGGCATTTTTCTGTATTTTCTCAGCCATCAGAAAAATCTTTTGGCGCTGCCATACATCCATGTTACTAATGGCAGTCCTGGGATAATGGCAGTAGCAGCAAGGTTTTTGAAAATTTTCTCCCATTTGACACTACTGTGAAAGTGGGTAATTGATATCCATTAGAACAGGCTTCGACCCTGTGGTAGATCCTACTCCTAAGCCATTTCTGCAAAGCAGAAATGTGTTACTTCTGCTCTTGTGAAAGTAAAATAATAGCAACTTGGCCACAAATAAAGCAGGTGTACATGATGAATATACATGTCAGCCTAGTAACTAAGAGGTAAGTTCTAAGTGTTCCTGAGTTCTGGCTGAATTTTCCTAAGAGTTTTCATACAGCCTTCTGAAGAGTAATTGGACCTGGATACAAATATTGCACAAAATATGGAAGTAAGTTTGTCTCATTTTACCATAAATGAAAATAAAAATACTCACATTACAGTTAAGTATATTTGTCTTCAGTTGTATGCATGGAAGTGCTGTGGGAATCATGAGACATATTTGAAAATGAAATTTCATCCTAGAAAAAAATACAGGACAATTTAGCATTTGTGCCTTCAGCACCTGTAAAGTTAGTCCATTGCCTTTTGTGCAGCAGTTTTCTAGCTCTTCAGCAGCTAGTTTGGGGACTAATAACAGCGTGACAGCTTCACTCCATTCAGTGAGTGTGTACCAAAACTCATCAGTGGACTGCACTTGAGCCAGCCCATATGTGCTCTTTTGATTAAGCTTGATCCATATCTACATGAACTCCAGTCATACCAATATATTGCAATTTAGATACCGTTACTTTCTTTTCCTTTTAGCTCCATCTTTTCTTTATCTCTCTTGCAGCTTCCATTTGCTACCATGTTAAAAATATGAAAAGAACATAGTCTTTCGTGGTTTTACAGCAAGGCTTTTAGGGCACAAACAAACTTCTGTATATTTGCATTATTTTTGTGATTTCCTTAGGTTGCATTGTAGCAGGCAAACAACAGTAAAATCAGGAAGTTGAGTAAAAGGGCAGAAAGAAACCTAATAATCACAAAACCTAAGACTCTGTATCCAAAAATCAACCTTTTTTTTTTTAACCCCTCTTTCTTTTTTCTTCCACAGCATTCTGACTCCAACTGTAACTTGAAGAAGCGAGTAAACTCCATAGCATCTCAGGCAGACCAGTCTCCTGAAGCCAGCATAATATCAAACAGTGGATCCCAGTGTCAAACAGTGTCTGTTCCTCCACCAGCCCCACCACCACAACCACCGCCTATTGGAGGAGCAAGTAAAATAGACCAGTATTCTAGGATCCTCTTCCCAGTGGCATTTGCAGGATTCAACCTGGTATACTGGGTGGTTTATCTTTCCAAAGACACTATGGAAGTGAGTAGTAGATTTTCTGAATATTTGTTTATAATATGTAATATGTTTACTTGGCAAATATTATTTCAGTTGTTCATTTACTCTTGCAACTCCAATTAATCAATCCTTTCTGAGGAATCCTAGGATACTTTCTCTAAAAAATCAGCTGTGGCACTCAGTACAATGCAGAAAGGCTATTTGAGGAGGGGAAAACTAAACACTTATCTCTAAGCCATGTTGCACTGAGCAGAACACACAGTGTAAGACAATATATGATGTCATTCTCAGCAAACAACTAATCTTAAATCTCCTATTTCTAATCTACCTACCTGAAGTAAGGAAAGGTAGAATTATCTGTTGAATCAATGCAGGGAAGGAGATAAGAACTTTAATATCTCCTAAGGTTTGTTCAATGAGGTACTAAGATAAGTCTCCCCAACAAAGTTTGTTATTCATAGTATGAAGGATTAATAACTGCAGTATAAAGTTTGGGAATCAAGAGTCCCTGGTTTTATACATTTTAATACTGATTTTTCCCATTGGTTTTGTGGTTTTTTTTCATATAAGTGAACAGTTTTATGCTGATAAAGCTGCTAAATTCTTTGCTTAAGTTTGTTTGAATCAGGCAGAACGTGAGCACGTCTTTAGATATCCATGAAGTCCAGAAGAGACATGTGCCCTGCAAATTGGACATGTCTAGAATAATCAGTCAGTGATTAGTCACTAAACTTTAATGCTTTAAATCTCGATTTTTTCCCTTTTTGCCTAAATGCAGTTAATGGTGTGCCATTTCCTTGGTAAAAAATATATTCATTTGCCTCATTGCCATAGTTTTTGGATCTCACTGTACATTGCAGTCAATATGATTGGTATATTTAGCTTTATTTAGGACAGCTAGAGACATAACGATGGTATTTAGATAGCACTGAATGCACAAGTCCCTACATCAATAAAAACAGAGGCTGGCAATCTGGTATGAGTGGTGATCAGGATGTACCTTGATTTCCCAGATGAGAGGTAAAGCAGGCTGAGGGAAATCTCATGGGCAGCCAAGAAATGTTGCAGTGCAAAGGAAACAAGACAGTGCCGATCAGCTCAACGGTGGCACATTGCCTCTGTTTCAAGCACACGTTACCAGCCTCCAATTTTGCTGACTTGTGCTACTAGTATAATCTGGAAAATGCTGTCTCTCAAAGTTGGAGTGTGCTGCCAAGCAGCTTCTATGGAATCAGGAGGGCAGGAAGGTAGGAGGCACTGTCTCTTACAAACATTCCTGCAGATGTCTCTCTCAAGAGGTCACAGCTGCCAACTCCTGGCTGCTCCAAATCTGCCCAGTGCTAAATTCAGCATTTGTGCCAGCGTTACTGATCCTGCTGTTAAAATATTGACTATGTGTGCGAATTACTTATCTCAATCAGTGAAGGGAAGTGTCAAAAAAGCTCCTGTATAATCACTACAGCTTCTGTTCACAGGCCAGTTCCTCAGCTTGCGTAGCTTGCCATGACTCCAGTGATTCCATTCAACCATTCATATTTTGGATCTAGAAATACTTGGAACATAGTTCCCATTTCCCTTGGTAGTGATGAAATATTTACACTAAACCTCATATATTAATAGTTGCATTAGAACCAGGCTTTTAAAATACTTCCAAAGTCTAGGACAAAGTGCTGACTACAAATATTTTTAAACGCCCCTTTGCAAGCTCAGAGACATGCTCAGAAGCTCAGAAGTTATGTTCTGTAGTAGCATTATAGAATGACAGAAATTCAGCACAAGATTTAGAAGACAGAACAGCATTGGCAGCTGGGGGTGTTGAGTTATGAAGAATGTAAACAATTATGTAAAATGTCAATCAAGCTTTTCTTCATAAATTACATTTTCCTCGTTTGTGTACCCAGTTGTAACTAATAATGATTGTGATATACACTGCTAGGTATCTAATTCAATATGTTATATCACTTTACCAGTTGCTACTTTCAAGGAAAATCAGGATTGGTTTTGCTTAAAAAAAATATTAGAGATATGTAAGCCTTTCCATTCAAGCAGAGGAGATACAGAAGTTAGGTGAGCAAAACATGGCATGCTTCAAGGGCAGTTCAGCTTAATCTCTGCCTCCCTCAACTCCATAGATTAAATATTGTTACAGTATTATTCAGCTAATTCAATTTAAAAAGTGTGTTTTGTGCAGTATTTCATTTATATTAGCTTTTCTTTTTTCAGTTTTTTTTTTTTTGAGTTCATTTGGCTTTTGTTTAAAAAAAACCAACATGGGGAAAAAATCTAATCAATTAAGTCAAATAACCAAATTCACTAGTTCTTGTAGTGCAGCTCTCTAGGATTTTGATCAGTGTAGTTTGCAATGCAGAATGTCATTCACCAAAGTCTGTCGCTGTGGAGAGTCCTAAACTGAACAGCTACCTACTGTCTGTGGGGGGACATACAGAATAAATCATGTCATGGATCTGTTTGTAAAAGCAAGCTATGAGCACTGGAATCAAAGGTAATTTGCAACTCTATCTTCTGGCCACACTCTTCCTTTGACTTGAAGGAACTGAAGAACAGTTTTTTACTTCATGTTGTGGATTCAGAACATCAGCTGGAATGAGCAGCCTTGATGATGTAATGACACAGAGGTCATTAAATGAGGAGCTCTTTCCTAAGCTGTTTGGTACTAGTTCTGTGCACTACTGAACTGTTTTCTTATGGCTTAAGTAATGGGCCATATGTACAGACATGAAGAAGCCATTTCTGTGTTTTTTATCTGGTAAGATGTATGAGAACCTTGGGGATTGAGTACTTTTCAAAGTGCTCCTTCGAGTACCTTTTTCATCCCCTTCCTTTTAATAATTTTCTCTTCTGGTTTATCACCCTTTCTCTTACTATACATGTAAACTAAAAGTATGTTAATTACCCAGAAATTTTAGGATTTGAAAGTTTGTATAATGGAGAAGGTGTTTCTTATAAAATGTATGCCTTTAAACATTTGAATGTTATCATTGTAGACTGGTTTGGATTGAAAGGCAGCTTGAAGATCATATAGTTCCACACGGGCAGGGACAGCTTCCACTAGATCAGGTCACTCTAAGCCCATCCAACCTTGTCTTGAACACTTTCAGGGATCTAGGCAACCTATGCCAGTGCCTAACCACCCTCACAGTTATGAGCAGCCAGGGCTGGACAGATAGTGAGATAGTGAGAGTATCTTAGGCTGAGCTCCTTATTTGTACCTCCATACATACTGAACCGGTCAAGCTTAGCCAACCAGGAAGCTTAGTAGCAAACTATCATTACAAAATTACTATTTTGCTAAATTTTAAAGCAAAATAGCAGCATTCTCTGAAGGAAAGAAATTTTTTAAAATTTTTTTAATTCCAGTTGAAATTAAGTGATTTAACTGAATGTTTTTTCTACATGAATGGGGATAAAGTTATATTCTGATCTTAATATTTAAATAAAGTGTTATATTCTCCATTGGAACAAGTGAAAAGACATTCAGTAGCGGTGATCCACCATGCAACGTGATACCTGAGGTATTTAAATGCAAACTGATTTTCATTGTGGAGTAGCAATAGCATTGCAGGACAACTGTTACATTGGTAAAAGTAGAGAAATTAAGTTAATACAGTTCTCTGCTTGTATTTTGCTAGACAGCATCTGGTTAGAACCTAATATGACATATGCCAGTTTTTAGACCACAGAAAATGCTGAGACTTGTATGATCAGCCCCCCTTGCTCTCAAAAGGTTTTATCACTTAATGCTGGCAGATGCTTAACTATAGCAATATCACTGTGCCATTTATAATATTAAAGAAATAAAGCATCAGAGTTACTCTAAGAGGTAAGGTCAATTTTTAATTAATTTAGGTGGTAGGTTCGAAGATGTGACATCCCCATGATTTCTACATGGCAAACAGAACAGGGATGTTTCCATAGACTGTGTTCTTTTGTAGAGTACAGGAATATCTGCCATCCACAAGAAGCTCTATATAGTGGCAAACAAGACACATTTGTCTAGATTAGCCAAATAGAGAAGTTCTTGAAAGGAGAACAAACCTTTCTGACAAATGAGAAAAAGTTGTTCCAGCTTTTTATTTTGTCATACAGCATATTTTGGCTTTGATTTTTGTCTTAAATCTTGCCAAGTCCTTGAGCTGAATACTAATTTATGACAGTGGCCTTGGTAGGTGAATTGCACACTTAGTTTATTTTAAAATTTGCTTGATTTAGAATGCAAGAGTCCCCTTTCAAAGACTGCAAGTACTTCTCTACCTTTGCCATATCATTCACGATGCATATGCTGTTCTCACATCATCTTGCACATCTTCTTTCTAAATTTATCTGTCTTAATTTTTAGATGTAACACTATACTACAGTTTTTCATGTAATAAAAGATGGAATGATGGAGTGAATTAAACTAAAGAAGGAGATGATCTTAAAGCTGTGGTGATAAACTGCTGAAAAATAAGCAGAGGCCAGTTTTTATGTTTGGGAGCAGAGGAAGATACAAAGTCACTGAGTGGACTGAATTTGCTGACTCTGGGATATTATTTGTATGCAGAGAACATAGTACAATGGCAGGAAAAAGAGTTACATAATAAGTTGAAGATGAGATGCTAATAATGTCAAGCAGGAAGAAATAAGAACAGAGAAAGAAATAAGAATTGGGAAAGTATTTAGCTTCAGTCTGTTGATATTCATAGAGCTTGCAGTGTGTATTGCTACATCGTGTTTCAGTTTAAACACTGGAAAAATAAAGTTCAGGAGACAGTCATTGACACATACTTAACAACTGAGCTTTGATGATCCAAGTAATGAGCATCAAGTTCTAAGAGGATTCTCCCTAGTAATGCAGTTCTATTTTAAGTCTGCTGAGAGAGTTAGGAATCACATGGTTTTGTTGGTTAACTCAGTTGTCATTGACAGTTGTTAACCCATAGCTGAAACTTCTCTCTGAATTCTTCTTCCAGTTTTTTGAACCTTCTGCAATGCATTTTCGAAATGACCCTCAGCCCAACTGAAGAACAGCTCAAGATTTCAAGGAAATCATTCAAGGTCACATAGGGTTGAAGAGATTTCAAAGAAATTGTCTGTCCACAGGTGCTCTCAGTTTTCACACAGGGAATATTTATATTGGACATCACCTGGATGCAAATCTGGACAAATGAAGAGCTACCAAACTTCTTAGGGTTCTAACAATACTTTCTTAAGATTTCTTACAGTGATTTTACTCTAGAAGTTCTTGTTAAATTATTTCGTTCAATTGTTAAAAGAAAGAATGGGCATTTGTCCTAAATCTGTTATAAACAACTGAATGTTTATATTGATATAAAACATCGATAACAGGTTTTATTTTTTTAAGCATAGAATAAGGATTGCTAAAATCAGCCTGACTCTGAAATGGTATAACTTGGCATGGCTTCACAGAAAGGTTAGGAGTTGCATTGATTTCCAGCACTTGAAATTGACACAAAATAATGTGGGAAGGAAATCCCATGAAAGGGAACTGTAATTCCATGATGTTTTAAAATTCTCCTATAAAAGATAAAAGATTAATTCTTTAATTGATTTTAATTTCATTTTCATCTGTAATTTGAGATAGTAATGAGATGAAAGGAAAGAAAAGGAAATATAAGCTACTTTTTGTGTGCTTTAGCTGATATAGTTACGATAGTATAACATATTTTTTGTTGTGTGTGACCACGGAAGTACCACCAGGCTAATAACAAGCAATTTCTCAGCAGGATCTGGAAATGCAGGACTGAGATGTCAGGGAGGTTTCAAGGTCTGGAGCTGAATAGACAGAAAGATGCAGCTACCCATCAAGCTAAATGCAACATTCCAGCTGCAGGGAACTTCCTGGAAGCAGGACTGGGTATCTAGTTAAGGGACAAGCTACATTTCATCAGCTGATTCTACTGAATTGCCTGTAGCAAACTCCCTAGAAATGTTTTTTTCCAGAGCCAAAGCACTGTCAGTATATTCAGAGTTTAAAGGTAATACTATCTTGTCACTCTCAACACAGTCACAGACTTTTTCTCACATTTCATAGTCCACTCTTATCCTATTGTACAGTCACCCTTTATCACCACAGGTGTAATGGACATTGTGAGGAATCAGAAGCACACAAAGAAGTTTTAGATGCAGCCAAATAATAATTAGGGGTTCTATCCTATCTTGAAATAAGATTAAATTAAACCGAAATATGAAATAACACATGGATTCAGGACATTCAGGGTCATAAAATTCTGATTCTATGTAATTCTATGATTCTATAATTTGCTTTGTCCAAACAAACATCTTAATCCCTGTGAAAAAATATTTATGGGTTGACTAATTTTATCCAGTAAGTCATTGAATGTTTTATTGGCACTGTAGGAATTTGAACTGATGACCTAGCTCCAGCTGTTTTCCTCCTCTTTCAAGAGGTGTACATACCTTTTAGTCATGTGGCAGCTAGACTGAACATGGGAGATCACTTTTTGTACATCCTGTTTTCTAGCTCTGAAGAGCTTAGATGGGACAATTCAAGGACTGAAGTCAGTAACTATTGTTTGCACAGAGATGTCATGATTGCAGTTTGCTTTTCCTGACTGGCCGCAGCCTGGCACACTTGCATGGATTTGTAAATGCACTGAATTCTTTCTTCATTTTACTTTGAAACTAAAATTGTGACAATTTTTCTATTTTCAGCCTTTCTATACTATTTTAAGAAAAAAATTAAGCTATGGATACTGGGCAAGTATTTTATAATCTGTAAATACATCTTACTCTGAAAAACAGCAAACTATGCTGTAGGGACCCAGAAGTTATTTTTTAATCTAACTATGCTCATTCTTGCTGCACTGACTAATTTCTATTTTGAGCACGTAAATATATGTAAGATTTTTCAGAATACTTTAAAACTGGTTTATGTACAAAATGAAAATATTTAAAAGCTATGGAAAACCAAGTGACACTAAAGGAGCTAAATTTTGTATCTGGTCTCTGCTTAAGTATAAATATGAATTTTACAGCAGATGCAGAGGGTTACTAAATAGTCACTATTTCCTTGGAGTGTAGTATATTGATGTGTAAAATGGTAACTTCCTGATTAGTTACCTTAAAAATGGACTGGTAGCTCTGGGTATTTAACAACATGTTTCAACATGAGCACAAGGGCCTATCTGTTTTTTTTTTTAAAAAGAGTTTTTCATGTGGATAAGACAGAGAAGGGTTGGTTCTCCACAGCTGTTTGTGAAGTAGGAAGGGAATGTGTACATTTCTTATTACATGCTTTGTAGAGACACTGGTGTAATCAATAATGTTAATAATGTCAAGTTATATCTTAGAATAAATGTAATTACTTACAATTAATGTCAGTTCTTAACAATCCTGGTTATGGTCAAACACTAATCAACCAAAGAAGACAGTAAAAGAGCAGATAAATAGAAACAAAGTTTTTATATATAGGTTTATATATATATATATATAT